TCAAAGCGCTGTCGTCGTCGTCGCTCGGCTTCGGCTTCGGCTTCGGCTTCGGCTTCGGATTTGTCTAAGGGAATGGGACTATGGCCGAGGACAAGTCAACATGGCGGTAACTCTACCTAGAATTTTGGATGTTCCGAGATCTAGGTTCAAGGAGCTCAACAAAGTTGTGATTGACCGGTTCAACATTGTCAAAGTAAAATCTTTGGTCCCTTCTCGTGATGAAGACAATGGTCAGTAACAAGGATAGAACTTTACACGTTCTTTAATGATTACCTAAGTTTGATGTGGTAGTTATCAAATAGTGTCAATCTAAAGGATTACACGTTTAGGAATCACCTATGTAAGTGTGAAGTGGAAGCCGCTTCAATGAGAATTCTGTAAGGCCAATTTTCTACGCACTTATGAAACCAGGCGGTGTTCATGGCTGAAACGAACACAACAATGAGAACTAAAAGACGGTTAAGGGTTGGTTGTGTGACATATGGTTGTCTAGGTATACACTAAAGTTCGACGGTTCAAAGATATCAAATCTACCGATTGACCGAGTATATCCGACATATGTTCACTACGGAAAGTTCAAAGGGAAACCTACTTATCCAGATGCAATTAATCCTTACTTGCAAATCACACAGCTTTCATCTATGATCTTTCTTGATACAACCATTCCCATTCATGTGGGGGATTGTTGGACTTTTAAGCCATTGGGCTTTAAAGTAGAAGAAGTGTGAATTGGAAATGGATGGAAATAAAATGGAGGGAAAAATGAAAATTTGAAGAAGTGAACTTTTGTCTTGCACTTTGTCCCTCATTGGTGAGGGACAATCACATTTGTGTGCTTATATATAGAATCACTTCTTAAAGCTCTTAAAAGGAGTTGAAGAGAATGAACCCTCGCGCCGTCGTCGTCGCTCGCTCGGCTCGGCTTCGGCTTTGGATTTGGATATGTCAAATGATCGATCGATAAGATTATTTTTGGACAAAATTTATTTAATTATTTAATAATTAATTAAATGCCAAATCACTGCTGAAAATATGCCAGAACCCTACTGAAGATTCAGAGAGCCTCTCTGACCGCGTTTCTGCCGTAACCGCGGTAGAACCGCGGCAGACAGCGTATTCTTCTGAAAAGGCACCTTTTTCAGACACCTCTTCTGATAATTGCCTATAAATTCTGAGGCAAGGCTCCATTTTCTACACACGAAAAACACTCAAGAACTTCTTTCTTTTTGAATATACTGCATCCTAATTCGCAGTCTCTCTCTCTCCAATTCGTAAGTGTGATTTTGCTCCGTTCTTTGAGTTCGTTGGGATCCTGCAGTTTGTATTGCCACTGTTGCAGGGAGGTTTATTCCGTTTTATCCTAGGAGGATTTAATCCATTACCTTGGCAACTTGTGAGGGGGTTAAAATTCCTTAAGGACACACAAGAAACTTGTGGACTCGGAATATTTCTGATTCTCTACTATTTTCCAGATTTCTTTAATTCTTCTAACAGTTTTTTTTTCCTTCTGATTTTGTGTTTTAACACAGTAACGCTCACACAGTGGGACACTGGTCTTTTTAGCTCCGATTTGCATAAGATCTTTGTTCGGTTTAAGTTTCTTGTTCAGTTTAAATTGCAAGGTTTCTTATATTAAATCTTTAAATCTTATTTTTATAAGGTCCAATGTCGGATCAGAGAAGTGTATCTTTGCAATGGATGTATTGTACTCCTTGTTTGAATTGCATAGCAGCCTCAACTGGTGTCTCCTTGCTAGTCGCAGGCTAAATGGTCTTTTATTTTATGCTAGTATGTTTTACTAATTTGAGAGCATTTGTTGGGGTACTGCAGTGGATTGGAGCTCTGAGATTTAGCTTTTTCCTAATGATAAGAGTCCTGTTTGATATATGTTGTTCTTTCATGGCTGGTCATCTCCTTGTTCTGGTGACTTAGTTTATATTTTTGTCCTCAAGTTTGACTTCTGTATTTTCCAAAGTAAACATCTAAAACAAGTGCAGCTATCTTAGCACAGGTAACCTAATGTTTTGAGGTCATTGTAAGCCACATGATGTAGAAGGGATTTACGTTGTTGCCATGCTTAGTGTGAAACACTTTTTAGCATCAACACTTCCTTGTCCACGCATCCAATATCTTCTCATTTGATGTGCGTTTTCCTTGCTTCAACTGTGGAAGTATAATATATTTTTTTGGCAAATGGTAGGATTATCCGACTAGAAGTGGAAAATATTAATCCGTAGATGATATATTAGTTATATGAAATTTGTCTTGGTTTGAAATACTAGAAACAAATTATATCTTGTGATTAAGGCACAATTGAAATGAATCCTGGAAGCAAAGGGGCACTAGATTAAGCCTCATGCCCCAATAGTTCTTGTTGGCGTACTATTTGTGAAGTATGGTGGATGAAATATTAATCCTTAGTCCTCCACTTTGTATTGGATCATCGAAAAAGAACACTATAGGGAGCATGTTGACAACAGGATCTAAATCTAATCTTCCTAGGAGAGTACATTTTGCTTATGTGCACAAACCTACATTTAGGATCTTTCGGTGCATCCCCTGTTTTTCCTATCTAGTTACTTTCATATTTGCACGCCATGTTAATTGTTTTGTTTGTCTGTAGGTATGTTGGGTAGTAAGTTTAGGGATTCTCACAGTACCTTATATGTGTTTAATTGTTCATATTTGTCTATGTTACTCCAACAAATTATTTTTGGTATGTAAGCTTACTGTTGTATCCTCTTCTTGCCTGCAGAAATGATTGAATAATTAATCAGCCGAGGACAGCAAGTTGATGCGGTACATTTCACTTATGAAGTTGGACTTGCTGATAGGTTCCCTCCTGTTCCCCTTCTGAAAGCTTATCTAAAAGATGCGAAAAAAGCTGCTACTGCAATTCTCGAAGACCCAAATAATTCTGGTCGAGCTGCGGTATCATCCACTTCTTTTTCTCCTGTTATGTATATTTTCATCTAGCTTTCCTGTATCTTGTTTAAATCTTTTCTCCACATTGTCTTAACTGTCTTGTTCTACGTTAGTGGTAGTTGGCAATATCTGTCCTGACTCTCTTTCTGCTATCCTCTCCCTGCCTGTGAATGCAGCTAGGTTCAGTCATTTTTTTTTTTTTGGATAAATATTGGGTGCTCAGTTTTGCCAAGATTTACATATTTTCCTTTGTTCTTGAAGAGGGTCTAGACATAGTCAGAAGTGTTGCCCTAATCATTTGACCTAATGTTGGAAGAAACTTTAGTTTCTCTCATGCCATTTATGCCATTGAAGAAAGACTTAATTTGGGTTTGGAGCATCGACATGTTGACAGGTTTGAATTCTTCATTCTTTTTAACACTTGTGATTGCTTGTTAATTACATTTTAGGTTAGTTTAACATTTTATTAATTTGGTAATTAAATTGAAACGGCTGCTGCATAAAAACTAAGTGTCTATATGTGTAGTTGTGTATTCTCATTGTAGTCACTTGTCCTCTTTGAGAAATTTATCACTGTTTCTATGCTCGAACAGGAAGTATATCATAAGTTTGAAATAGGAAGATTATCAGAACTGCAACAACTTCCCCTGAATTCCAGTTTCTTTCAAGGTTAGATTACTAAAGGTGATGGGACGTTGCTCAAAATTGCAGGCTCTCTTACAACCATTTTTGGAATACTAATTTGATGTCGATTTTTCAGTTATGTTCTAGTTGGAATTCTAACTGGAACACTTTAATAGGTAAGTAAGTTTCTATCAACTAAATGAAGAGTATTTGTAGATGAATTTAGTCATATCTTATATCATTGAATTGAAGGAAACATGGATAACTAACTTGTTCCACATTTTTCTCAGCATTGATCATTTATGATCCGTTCTATTTATCATGGGCTTTTGTACTTGCTTTTTGCTGCACTTCTTTGTTATTTAGCAGTAGCCAGATTATCAACCTTTCTCTGCATTGAAATTTCAGAACTTCCCTGGCTTTGAAGTCTAAGTTTCATCATACTTGGAACAGAAAAGATAAACTTCTTGAAACTATTCATTGGCTGCATCATTTTAATCAAACAATATTTACTCTAATTGTTTAGCTGATTTGGTTATTAAATTATTCATTTGTTTTCTAAATAAAGTAGCTAGTAAGAGTTTTTTTACTAAAGTGACATGACTTCTTCTTTTAACGGATCAAGAACTTGAAGGCTCAAGAACCTATCCTTGAAGAATGTCCGGAGCAAGTTGAAGCACAATAGAGTTTTTGTTCTGTTAGCAGTGGTTTAAAGATTTTGTCATTTGTACATCGTGCTGCGGTTCTACTGTCTGTTTTTAGGAGTTGATAAAAATAGTGTCATGCAATTTGTATGGGTATATTTATAGACAGTGTGATCCTTCAGTTCTTTGTAATAAACAATGAAACTTTAGAGAGTATGAATTTTGATTATTTGGTATATTTTTAGATGCGTGGTTGTTGTATATATGTGTGTGAGAAAGCATATGGTAATGATTATTATTGGATAACTACAGGGAAAAATATAAATTGGTGTAGTTATATTTATTAAAATATCACATCAACGAAGGGAAATGTGGTCTTTAAAACTCTTTAACTATATGATTATCAAATGGTTACATGTGCTTTAGCGAAGGAAAATTTGGCAATTTGCAAAGGGAAAACCGGCCGCTAAATAGGAATAACGAGGGCAAGTTTTTTGGTCGTTAAAGGAATTTAATGGTTGGATTCTAATCCGGTTGTTAACTTTTAATGACTGGATTTCCCCTGAGACAGAGGTCGTTAACCATAGAGATCCACTTGTCTTAATATATCAAGGTCCGTCTCAATGCTGAAGCTGCAGTATCTGACACAATAAAACATCTTGGACAAGATAAAATTCAAGATTTATCACTGTCCCCTCCATCTGTTGGCTCCATGCAGATTGATAGAAGCAATGACTCTATAACTCACCAATGTGTAAAAAATTCGGATGGAACTCCATTATTTTGGCAAAACTTTTTTATTTGGCCAAAAATAATGGAGCTCTAGTTAAGTATTTTACTGGTTTGGCCCAAAAAAAAAAACTACACAGCTGAATTAAATTAAATAGTTGTTGCATCCTAAAGAAAAATAAAAAATACTAATATAATTGATATTTCATTATTTTGGCAGAAAATATTTTTATTTGGCTAAAAGTAATGAAATTCCAATCAAGTTTTCCTTTTATAAATTTGGTTGAAAAAAAAAAAGAAATATAGAATTGAAACAAATAACCATTGCATCTCAAAAATACAAAAAATATGCATACACAATTGAAAGAAATAAATCATTATATATGAGAATTAAGGATTGAAACAACCTCTCCAAAATAGGGGTCAGATGCCTAGAGCTTATCCTTTCAAATTTCACTCGTGGAAACTCATTGACTTTGTTATTGTTATTGTCCTTGTTAACGGTTTAAAAGAGTGAATTGGTAAATGCAATCATATAATTAAGTTTAGGGGCAATTGGAATTATGAATAATTTAAGTGCGCACTAAATAGATGAAAGCCAGTAGTATAAGTTTTTTTTTAGGTGTTCCGCCACACAAAAACAGTAGACTCGAGAAATACGCACACAAATAAAATCCGAATTTTATTTTATTATCCATCTAAATCCATGGCGTTGGAGGAGAACGGCGGTGGAGATCTGAAGGAGCAAGGTGAACAGGAGTCGTCCGATTGGTCCAAATTGTCGGCTGATTTGAAAGTTGAGATTTTGTGCCGGTTACCGGAAAAACCTCTGATTGCGTTCAAAAGGGTGGCCAAAGATTGGTACTTTCTGATTTCTTATACTTGTGTTCCTAGATTATCTCCACCATCTCCTTCTGCCCCTATCTGTGGTACCTTTGGTCCTGGCTTTACTAGTGAGCCATCCAAGTCCACCACTGTAGTATTCACTCCATATGGACATTACCATACCGTCTATCATCAGCGCCGTTCACGGAATAAACCAGATAATGTTCGTTCCTACTTGGATTCCTTGCCTTTCACTTGTACGACTAAGGATCTGCATGACTGCTGCAACGGTTTGCTTCTTATATCCTGCAGTGACGACGAACGCACTCAGTATTTAGTTGGTAATCCAGCTACGAGGCAAACTATTCCGATATCTGTTAATTCAAAGCATCAAAATTCCAACTTGGTGGACTGTTCGCTAGTTTTTGATCCAGGCGAGTCGTTAGAATACAAGATTATTCGGTTTGTTCACTCGGTTGGTAAAGTCACTATTAGGTTAGTGGATGTTTATTCTTCTGAGACTGGAAACTGGATCGAGTACAAACTTCCTCTTGCACCAGAGATTTCTGGACTATGGTGGCTTAAAAATTCAGTCTATCTAGATGGAGTTCTGTACAAGATATGCCGTGATGGACGCCTCATTTGCATAGACGTAAAATCCAATCTTACTAATTTGAATGCTTGGTCTACCCTTGAATTGCCATTTCAGCCGATCACAGATGAGTGTGTAGGTTCTATTGGAGCATCAAGAGGCAATCTTTATTGCTTCAATCGAGATGCATCTAACTTTCTTCTTTGGAAGCTGAAGAATGGTGTTCAATGGGTTCTGGAATACAATATAAGCATATATAGGCTGATTCATCGTTCTTTTGGCCGTTATTATTGTAAGGTTTTGGGAGATAAGGTGTGGACTAACTTTCAGCCTTGTGTCTTTCTTCCTACTCAGGACGAAATTCTCATTGAAACTCCTTGGTTCCTCGTAACTTATAGTCCTAAAGAAAACAATTTTGAGTGGTATGACATAGAGATGCGTGGCTGTAAGACAAGAAGATTAGGGCAATCTTTTGCTTACTCGCGAAGCCTTGTTGTCTTCAATAGCATCATCCATAGGCATTACGAATCATCTGCCTCGTTCAGTAAGTACAAGCTTATTTATACTTGTATCGTACTATTCAACTTGCATATGTTATAAGAATGCAAAAAAATTACTTCCTCCATTCCATTTTTTTGTGTCTTAGTTTGACTGGCACGAAATTTGAGTCTAGAGTCTAGAATTTTTCTGTCTTTAACTAAAATTGTATATAATATACCAAAAATAACCTTTGAGTCTTGTGGGTTTTTAGTCATGTCATAGTTATTCCTATGAGGGAGTGTCATTAAGGTTAAAATGAGAATGTTGGAACTAAAGGCTTACTGAATATAGAAAGAGGTATTCTTTATGAAACAGAGTAAAAAAGAAATTGAGGCACATAAATTGAAATAGAGGGAGTTTAAGTTAGTAATAGTACCTTCTATTAGTTCAATCTTCTGCCACCCTTCCCCTTCGCTCGTTTTCCTTTTTTTTCTTATTCTGTTGCATAGACTTCAACTTGCAATCTGACTAAATATTATTATTATTATTATTATTATTATTATTATTATTATTTCACACATTGGTAAATTTGTCATTGTGCATGTGTACACTGCTAAATTGACCAGATTTTTTTATCTGTTCTTCAATTATTGAGTGTAATATCAATAATACCAAGACCACTAAGAAAGAACAAAAACCATATCCGCTTAAGCAATCTTACTTTTTTTTTTCAAGAAATAACCTAGGGTTTCTAGGAAGGGAGGATAGAAATTGATGTTCGGAGTGCTGCTATTCTTGTGAGTATTTGAAGTGTCCTCTATTTTTTAGAGGATAATGGTTATTTCGGGGATCTTGTTTTCATTTATTTTTGTAACTTCCATGCATTAGCGGACCTAGGATCTTCAGGTTCTGGGTGCTCTATTACATGCACAGATGTAATGTAGTTTCACCAAGTTCAATTGAATCTAGTATCATTTTCACGGAGCACAACTATATATATATATTAGAAATCACACAATTTCTTGCATATTGGACCGATAATTACAAGCATACAATGAATTTAGTGATGTGAACATAAATATTGAACCCATTAAGTTTAAATCCTGAATTTGTCTCTACTAAATTGTAAGAGAGAGGAGAACTAGACTTTGTGAGACTGTGTTCTTGGTGAAAGGAATTGGATGGGTGGTAGATGATGAGCAAAAGAAAGGAAAAAAGAAAAGCAAGAAAAGAGTCGATTAGCTGGAGCTTTATAGGATTGAAAAGTAGGGAGAAGTGCAGGTGCTAGAATGGTTATTTTATAGGTGGAAGGAGTTGTTTACTGGCTCCGGGAAATTTAAATGCAAATCTGGTCAAATTACACGGGACGATTCTGGTGTACTGATCAGTAGCATCACAACATTAGATACCTTTGTGCCAAATTGCAAAAACGTGGAGAAACTGAAAGTTGCTGATAGGAGAAAAATAAGACTGGCAGGATATATAGCTGAACAAGATATCTAGTTAAGGAAATCTTCCCTTATCCTTAGAACCTTCTCGGGTATACTGAGGCTACAATGTTGAATGTAGAACAAAAAAGAGCCATTCTGTAGCAATTTTTGGAGTCTAGGTTGATAGAGTAATCCAGCCCTTCGGTAAGTCAGAGGGAATGTAGGAACTTATTTTTGAACCGGATTCCTTTATTTGGAAGTCAGAGGAAGGAGGCTGTTTCTGTGACCTGCTATCAGTTAGTAATCTAATTTTTCTTGGAAAATGCTTTGGAAAAACAAAGCACCCTTGCAAGTAGCATGCTTTTGCTGTATTTATGGTCATGAAGTATGCTTAACTCAGCCTTATCTCTAAAGAAAGGGAATAAAGCAATTATACCATGTTGACATGTGTTCTAAGGCCTCAAATTACTCGCTTGCACTAATACCAGTATGGTATATGTGGATCATGTTGTTAAATCTTTTTGAAGTTAAATGGGAATGCCTTATGGCTTACGCTCTGAAGACCTCTGTTATAGGCTTGAGAAATAAAAAGACAACTCAAAACTTTCAGGAACTCAGTTGTAAACTTTAAATACAAAAAGTGCCCCAAATAAAATGTGGTGAGACTTGTGGGGACAAGAAGCAAAAGGAAATGTACAACTTACAAAAACTACAATTTTTTCGACACATGCATAAATACTTGTAACATCCAAACTGCAATTTCTAATTTCAGCATCCAAAATAGTATTATGACAATATTGATTGCAAAGCTTCAAATCAAACATAATTGAAATGTATTTCAGAAATCCAACCGAAAGATCGCTCAAGTTGCAAAATTTGACTTTCACTGTTCATTTACAGCAACAACAAACCCAGTGTATCCCACAAATAGGGGGTCTGGGGAGGGTATTATGTACACGGCCTTGCCCCTACCTTATGCAGGTAGAGAGGTTGTTTCCGGTAGACTCTCGGCTCTAAGCAAGCATACAAATCACAACAGTATAGAGAAAAGTTCATAGAATGTGGTGAGATGCAAAAGGAAGACACTGCTGATTACGAAATGAATGAAGAAGACATGTGTGGGTTGAATACTCTCTCTAAAGTAGATTGACTGGATTCACATGGTATGGCAATGGGGTATCTTCTGAAAGTGAAATTAGTGAAGACCCACAGAAGAGGTGATCGGTAACAGTAACGAGGAACCTTCAGACACACATGCAATAGATAAGAAAGCGGGTGCAACATTGTGTCTTATTAAAACTAACGATGAAAGGAATGTCAGTGTTCTATCAGGCAGTCAGCGGTTCCACATGGGTTGAATGGGTTGAAATGGGGGCTCTGAACAACAGTGGGGATATCATCAACGATTGGGACGAGAAGTTGGAAATGTAATGAAAAATTGTTGGGTTCATACACAATCACATTTTTTTTGTGAAAGAAGTTAATTCCGGGTTCGGCTGTATATTCGCAGGGGGCTGATGGCCATGTTAACGGAAAGGAAGAAGGAATTCTGGTGGGAGTTGGCTGATATCAGTTGGTTGGTTATATTACCTTGGGCTATAGGGGTAATTTTAATATCACCAGCTTTGATGAAGAAAGATTGGGAAGGTCAAGATATACTTAGATCTATGAGAGAGCTTTCTTTAATTAATCATCCACCTCATGGGGATGAATTCACTTGTTTAGAGGCGGTAACAATTAGTGTGCTTCAAGGAATGGTAGATTATTAATCTCAAGGCAGTGGGATGAAAATTTTAAATTTATTAAAAACAAACAAAGAGTCCTACCAAGATTGGTCTCGGATCACTCTCCCATCTTATTGGAATGTGGAGACTGGAGTAGTACAACAAAAACAATAACAACCCAGTAAATGGGAGGATAGTGCATACGCAGATCTTGCCCCTACCTCGAGGGAGTAGAGAGGCTATTTCCAATAGACCATCGTCTCAAGAAGATGAAACGAGACAATATATCAGTACCAGCAATAAAAACTAGAAAAATAATAACAGCAACGTGAGAACCAAAAAAATAGATGGAAAAACAATAACAATAATAAGTAAATAAGGCCCGGTACTATGAAAAATGGAAGAATAGTGAGAACACAACAATAACCACTAGTAGTCTAAGACAAAACACTATCAGAGTAGCCTCAACTACCTCCTAACCTACAACTTTAATGCTCGATCTCCGCACCTTTCCTATCAAGGGTCATTTCCTCGGAAATCTGAAGACGCCCCATGTCCTACCTGATCACCTCTCCCCAATGCTTTTTAGCTGTCCTCTACCTCTTCTCATACCCGCCAAAGCCAACCGCTCACACCTCCTTACTGGGGCATCTGGGTTTCTCCTCCGCACGTGCCCGAACCATCTAAGTCTAGCTTCCCGCATCTTGTCATCCATAGGAGCCACGCCCACCTTCTCCCAAATATCTTCATTCCTAATCTTATCCAACCTAGTGTGACCTCACATCCACCTCAACATCCTCATCTCTGCTACTTTCATCTTTTGGATATATGAATTCTCACTGGCCAACACTTTGCTTCATACAATATGGCCGTTCTAACCACCGCTATATAAAGCTCTTACCTTTGAGTTTCGGAGTTAAGGATATTTTAAAATTGAAAATATGTAGTTTGAATGTGCTGAATTTACTGATTTGGTGGATAAATGGTGGAAATCCTATGAGCTGCATCACCATTTTGCAACACCAGAGATTCTCTTATTTATCTCTGTTTGGTATGTTCTTTGATGCAAACTGTTAACAATAAACACACACTCTATCAGGAGAAATTTCTCCTCTTCTCATTCTCTGCCTACTACATGAATTGCATTTCAGGCCACCACCTCCCACAGTATCTTTTCTGTTGTACTCTACCCGCAAGATCATCAGCCAACATGAGACTGGATTTCATTTTCTTTTTGTGTTAGTTTTTTCCTTCTGTTGCTTATTTGTCTTCTATAACCTTCTCTGCGTCTCATTTATCCCTTTCTTCTCTTGCAACTTTGTGTGTTTGGTGCCATTGACCAGACCAGTCTGATCTACGAAATCTGTAGCTTAGCTACTGAAGCTGTTGGCATACTGACAAAAAGCAAAGGTAAAAAGAGATTGTGGGCAAGGATGTGGGGCATTTGAGATGGAGGGTATGAGAGAGTGCATTATATTCCTAGTTACAGATATGGTTATCCTTTTTTAAGTGCTTGGAATATTGAGGGACGATGGAGAAAAAATCTATAGGGATCTTTAAGGTGCTAAATTGTCTGGACGTAGTCAAATGGTTTGAGGACCAACTAAGATAAACATTGAGGGAATAGGATAGTAAGCGCTGAATCCCAGTGGATTATGGTAGCAAGGCCACTATGTGACTTACAATATCCGGTCACGTGTTTAAGTCGTCTGCAAAGTATTCTACCAGCCGCTCCGATTGAAATTGTACTTCAAAGAGGTCGTGACCCTTTCGCGACAATGACTTACAACAACCTAGTAAAATTCCACAAATGGGGTTTGGGGAAGCTAGTGTGTATGCAGACTTTACCCTACCTCGGGAGCAGAGAGATGTTTCCGATAGACCCTCTTCTCAAGAATACGAAAAGAGATAATAAATCAGTTTTGCAGCAATGACTTAGCGAACAACAAATCCTCAAGTGCTTGATGCGGCGAAAAAAATACTTAAATCAGTTTGATCTCAAAATGTCATCATACAAATCTCTCAACTAGGAGAGTGTTTCTAGTTAGCCATGTTTCCTATTTGTTGTCACTTTCTTGGTTTTTTTTAATCTTACTATGCTTATACCTTGCAGGAATGTGTTCAATTCAAAAATCACAGTCCGTCTCACCATGTAGTGACTAAGTTCCAATGAAGTTGATGTTTATCTGCAAAAGTGGACTAGGTTTCGGAGTTGATGTTTGTCTGCAAAAGTGTGGTCCATTAAATATGAAGATTTAGAGGTAATCTTTGTCAGCCCAATAGTATTGTAAGGATCAAGGAGGCAGCGTATGTATAGTATGTTCAGGGAGGGAGTTTGTATGGTTCAGGCAGGGATAATTTATTTAATTGGCCTGACTGATGTAACAAAATTTGTGTTTATTTTTTCAGTTGTTAGAAGAAAGTATCTACCTCTGCAACACACTTTTATTTTTTAAGTAACCCCTTTTTTTCTTGTTAGTTCATGGGTAGGTAAGTTTGAAGCTGAGGTTACTGCGCAGTCCATCTTCTGTTATTCATTTGGGTTCTGTGCCGGGGTGTCGTGAATAGAAATGGTAACGGACCGGGCATGGGTAGGTAAATAGGAGCGCGGCGCGGCGTGTTGCTAATTATTTTTTTTTTCCTGTGGTTGCTGAGCGAATTGAGCATCAAACCAATGTGAAAGGAGTCCACCCAAGCCGTGTTTCAGTTAACTATCTTCCTTAATCTGGCTAACGTTTCATGGCAGGTGAAAGAAACTTCATTTCAGCTCTGTGAATCAGAGGACATCTTAACAAAGTAAATTTTCATGTAAATTTATCTTATTCTAACTAAAATTGATTTATAAAAAAAATTGAAAGTTACGAATACGTAAGTAACAATGTGTGTGTGTATATATATCTATATGTTTATGTATAGAGAGAGAACTTATGTTAAGTGGGGTGAGTTAAAACAATGTTTTGAAAGGCGGAGGCGTGAGGCGAAATGTTTTACTTCTGACGAGATGAGGCCGTAAGTTCTGAGACATGGGGAGCAAATCACACGGATTTTTAAATTTTACTAATTTCAAGAATTTTAAGATAATATAAAATAAAAAATAACTATAAAAATTTCATTAAAATCGCAAAATTATAACAAATAATCTATTTAAAATATTTATAAACTATAATTCAACTATGAATAATACGAAAAGTATGACATATATCATAATATGCAAATTAGCTGCAACATCGTTACAATTCAAACATCAAAAGTAATATATTCGATGCGAAATCTTATATGTATCTCTTAAGGAGTAATGAATCTTGAAAGAATTTCGATATTATAATTTGATTTTTTTAAATACTCCTTTTATTTAATATGCTTTCTATTTGAAAGAGAATTTATATAAAAACATAATTCACAATTTAAATATGATTCTCTAGCATCATTTATTTTTAAGTTTAAACAAGTTAATAAAGTGACACATAATTCACCATACTATACCATGATAATTAATTATTTGTAAATAGTTACTAGCTAATACTGAGCTATTAAATTAATATGTATTGTATCTCGTAAACGTAAAAAAAAAATATTTAGGAAAATAATTATAAAAAAGATTATGGGCTATTATATAATAAACACATAACAAATGTTAATAAACAAATACTTTTAAATTAAAGATTTATTTAAAATTTACTATCATAGCAGTCTTAGTGGATAACTTGTAATAATTTTTATTTTAATTATGACTTAAATACTCTCAATGATTAAGAAAAAAGTAATTCTGAATAGTCAACGATTTGTTAAGAAAATTTGAGAATTTACAATGTCAGTTACACACAATTGCATAAAGTTCTATTAGGCGAGCCTAGTACGCTGGGCGTTGGGCGTGTCCGAGGCGTAAGCCCCGACGGGCGAGACGTAAGTCTCACGAAACTAAGCCCCACAAATAAGCCTAGGGGTGTTTTATGAGTGCTCCGTCCCAGGACGAGCCCCGGGCGAGTCCCAATTCTGCCTTTTAAAATAGAGAGTTAAAAATGTTGCGAATAAGGCTCAACCCGAGGGCAAGTGTACAGATAGCCATTTTCAGTATGTTACTTAGAGATTAGCTACTAGTACTTATTTTGTCTTGAAATTTTAAACGAAAAATCTTAACTTTAGGACAACTCAGAACATTTTTGTCCTGTAAAATTGAACTGAAAAACTGAAATTCAGGACACATTTGCTAATTCCTAAATAGTTTCCCTTTAGAGTGGCTATCTGGTGTCATTTCTACCTCAACGCACCTCACTCGGGCCCGTTACCATCCCAAGTCCTGAAGACCTCATTCCATTCATAAGTTGGTCTGCTTTCCATCTTAAGATTGCATTTTTTTCGAGAAAGCGATTGAATAATACACTACAAATATTTTCGTAGATTTTGATTGTGATAGGCGGATTTGGTTCAACTATTTTTTAAGCTAACTTGGTGATTTGTGGAATTAACAGAAATCTGTAGGTCTGATTA